ATGACGAGTAGAACCCGATTGGTTGTACCCAAGATTACAGATACCTAAATCCAACCGATCGACAAGAGACAGTTTTATCATAACGCAGATATAATTACCAAATTTTGTCATAGGTGGGATTTGAACCTTAGACCTGCCACTTGGAGGATGACAACTCAACCACTACATTAGGATCGCCATCCTCAGATGAAAATTTTAATATATCATATGTATATTATAAATTACTATGTAAAAATAATCTACATACCTCTACACTTAATTTACAACACTTCAATAATGAATCTCATAACTCAAATTACTACAGTCGACTCTCTATAAGTGCACATGTGCATTTATAGAATTGTGTATTTATAGAGAGAAAATATTGTAACTTAGTTTAAATTTGTAAAATGAAATAATTATAAAAAAAAAATATAATATTAAAAAAATTTTATTAATAAAGCAAATTTTATGAATACAAAACTGAAGCTCAAATTGCTATCAAAGTTTTTGTAAATTTAAAAAAAATCTCCTGCAGATAGTTATCAAATGTTTTTAATTATTCGAATTAACAAAAAAATTCATTTATTTTTTGTTAATTACTTTGTTAAATTTTGCTATCAAATTAATATATTCTCTTATATCATTTTTTTGCTACAAGAGATATAAAGAAAATGTATCAAGTGCATCCAATACTTCTTTTTTTTTAACTTCATGCTCTTCATTATTAGAATCCACAGATTCCTGGTTTATAACTTCTTCACTTGCTAAATCTATAATTTCTTGATCAGTAGAAAGCATATCGGTCATATTTTGTTCTAAAAATTCATCAACTTTCTTAGATACTTGAAGTTGAATATCACTTAGTTTATTAGTAGTTGTAAATGAATTCTTAGTATTTACTTTTATCTCTTCATTAATTTCTGATTCTAAAATTTCTAAAAGAATTTTTGTATGATTAAAATAATTTTTAATCATTATTGAAGAAATATTATTCCAAGCATTTTACAATAAACTTTATTGTAGTAAGTATATTAAGATTATTTTGTTTTTGTTCATTATGTTGTTCAACTTCATATTTATTTATAATCCATCGAACAAATTGGGATTTATAATGACTTTTAAATGACATAATTATTCCTGCATCCAATGGCTAAATTTTACTTGTTGTTTTAGGTGAAAAAAAATTTAGCTTTGTATTTCTAAAAGTTATACCATCAAGTTTATGACTTGCAGCATTATTCATTAAAAGGATAACATTATGCCCAGTCATTTTTTAATCAAAATCTTATATCCATTTATTGAATATTGTTGTATTTATCCAAGCAGATTTATTGGCCTTATATGTTATGCATAGGTTATTTTGATTAATGTACTTAAAACATCATGGATTTAGAAATTTTCCAATTACAAGTGGTTCATGTTTATTACTTCTATCAGCATTTATACAAAAAGCAACTGTTAATAATTCTTTATTTTTTTTTCTGTCTTTTAAACTTGTTGTAGCCAGTGTAGTATCAGGTTCAAAATGATAGAATAATGCTGTTTCATTCATATTGTAAATATCTTGAAGATTATATTAAGCTAATAAAATTTTTAGTCCAGAAATTGCAGTATCTACAGCATTATGATCAGCTGAAGCATCTTCTCCATGACACTTAATTTTAGAAATTTCATATCTTTTTTTAAATTTGTCTAACTATCCTACTAAAAACTTGAACCAATCTACAGACAAATTTAAAAGCTATGCAAAACATTTGGCCTTTTCTGTTAAAATTGCATCCATTATTGTTATATGAGCTTAATATTGTATAATCCACTCATGCAATACACAATCAAGTTCTTCATGATAAACTGGTTTTATTCTTTTTGAGAAAGAACCTTCTTTAATATCATTTTTTCACTTCAATAAATGTCTAATTGTAGTACAATGAATAACAAGATTATATGTATTTTTTATCCATTTAACAGTATTATCATGGGTTTCATTTGGATTTTCATTTCTGTGTTTAATAACTTCTAATCTTTGCTCATTTATGAGCATACTTCTGCTAACCTTTTTGGTAAGCATAAGCAATTTAGAATAACAAATAATAATATAAACTTACTTTTATCATTATTTTATTTATTTATTACATCATAAAATCATATTATTAATAAATTAATTTTTTTATCATACTACATAATGTTACACAAAATTTATTAAAAAATCAAATGATGTGTGCTTACAAAGAGAGGAGATGCACTTATAGAGTGTATACTTATAGAGAGTCAACTGTATATAACATTATTTTTTGACCAATAAAATTTGCACATATATTATATATAAGAAGTTTATATAAAAATAACTAGCTTGAATATAATTTATTAGCTCTAAAATATTAACCCTTTTGGTATATAACCTATTTATATATAAGATTAAAATATATCTTAAGACTAATTCTAAAATATAAGCAAATTTTTATCTAATTAAATTTTGAATATATTTTACTATACAACATCATTTTTGATTAATAAAATTTGCTTATATATTATATATAATAAATTTATATAGAAATATTTATTTGTAATTTAATTGGCTAGCTCTAAAAAGTTAGCCCTTTTGATATATAATCCATTTAAATATAAGAATAAAATGTGTTTTAAGGTTAACCCTAAAATGTAAACAAAATTCTAACTAATTAAATTTCAACATATATTTTGTTATGTAACCTTATTGTTAACCAATAAAATTTGTTTATATATTATATATAAGAAGTTTATATAGAAATATTTATTTGCAATTTAATTGGCCAATCTTAAAAAGTTAACTTTTTTGATATATAACTCTAATTCTAACTCTATTTCTATCTCTAGACTCTAACTCTATCCCTAGACTCTAGACTTTATTTCTAAATTTTAAACTTAAAATTCTATTCCTAATATTATTTTTATTCTTAAAAAATTAGCTCTTTTGATATATAACTCATTTAAATATAAGATTAAAATATATTTTAAAATTAATTCTAAAATATAAGCAATTTTTTATCTAATTAAATTTTAACTTATATTTTATTATATAATATTATTTTTGGTCAATAAAATTTACATATATATTATATATAATAAGTTTATATAAAAATATCTAACTTAAATATGATTGATTAGTCTTATAAAATCAGCCTTTTTGATATATAATTCTAACTATAACTATACCTTATTTATATATAAAATTAAAACACATCTGTAAGCTAATCTAAAATATAAGCAAATTTTTATTTAATTAAATTCTGATTTATATAATAGTATATAATATTATTTTTGATCAATAAAATTTGTTTATATGTTATATATAAAAAGTTTATATAAAAATATTTAGCTTGAATATAATTAATCAGTCTTAAAAGTTAGTCTTTTGGTATATAATATAAGAAATTTTCCAACTCTAAGAGTCTTTTTATGTAAATTATCTAAAATAATATTAGTTAAAAAGATTTTATTTTATTATAAATCATTATTTTTGTTATTTTGTCTTTAATATTGTTATCAGATATGATGCTATAAATCTTGTTTTTAAATTTAAGAGAATAATAATACAAGTTTAAAATTTCCTATTAGTGAGATTTGATTATTATCTTAAATAAATAAGAAAGATGTTTAACTAAACCTTTATTTTCTAATATACCAATTTTAATAAAGCTAGTATTATCTATTATAAAATTAATAAAACTTTATTCTTTAGTAAATAAATATTTTATAATTTAATTTTTATCATATTTATTATCTTTAGTTTGATTGTTTTCTAAATTAATAATTTTTATATTACAAAATAAATTTGAATCTTAATTATTCTCTAGAGAAATCATTTTTAATTACATAATAAATCTAAATCTTGATCATCTTTCTTTATAAAGAAAGCAGATTCTTTATTGTCTGTTAAGTCCTAAATAGCTGTTTCTTATTGAAACTTCTTTTTCTGTTTTTTTTCTCTTATTTTATTTCTAATTTATTTTTTATGTATCTATTTTAGAAAATTGATCTCTTTATCTTTAAAAAATACATCAGAATTTATTTTATAGAAAGTAATGATCAAGAATTGATTATTTTCTTCTTTATCATCTTCTAATAATTTAAGTTTAGTATCAATAACATCAAAAGAATAGTTTTATAATTATTTCTGTTCTAATTCTTTGATAGGTAGTGAATTGAAGAATGTCTTTCTAATGCTTTATTGAATCTCATGAGTTACTAATAATTCTAAACAAGCTGAGAATTATAAAATATATTCAATAAGAGATGCATCCTGTTCATTAATATTAACTCAGATTTGCAATTTGATTTTCTTAATGTCATGTCTTAATTTCATTACTTCAGTTTAAATTTAACATTCCTAGCTTTATGCTTGAAATTCTATTCTCAACATCAGATTTTTCATTTATAACCTGCCTAAACTTTGCATTTTTAGCCTTAAGCTCAGTGATATGGTTTTTCAACAAATCAAATTCAGAATGCATGTTCTATAATATTTTTATAAGATATATATTTGTTCAAAACTTATTTAATAAAATCACTTTTACCAAGAAATATTTTTATTTCAAAGAAACACACTTTTGCCAAGAAAATTCTCAATCATATATAAGTTATATATCAATAGCAATACAATAAAATAAATTCACAAAATATATACACACAAAAGTAAACATAATTCTGTATGTGAAATTGACTACCAGAACCAGCTTTATTAATAATTGACTATATAGCAATAATAATGACATGCTAAAAAATAACATAATAACCTACAGCACTTGTTTATTTTGATTCACATCCTTTATCAAACCAACATACAGCAAATGCTATCACATATTCATTAAATTTTATAATCAATAATTTTACTACTCCTCCATCTTGTATACCTTTGGAGTCAGACATTTAACTATTTTTATGGTTTCTTGACCTTCTCCTATCATGGGATCAACTTAAGCAGACAATAAATGTTTAAGGCTATTTGTGAGATCACTAACTTTGGCTAATGATAAGATTGTGGAAACTGGTGTAAACTGCACCAGGCAATTGTAAATGTTCGAAGATAGTCCAAATAATCCAAGTAAGGTCTGAAAATGCTCTTGAAATGCTTTAATTTTGGCACTTGAAGCACTTGAATCTTCCTTATTTTTAAGTCTAATCTTCTTAATAAATTCTTTTCCTGTTTCTTTAGTATCTGTTTTATAATTTTCTAATACTTCTGCAATTTTACATTTGCATGAAGTCATATTAGGTGTTTCAGTAAACTTTAACAGATCATTAACTAACTCTAATTTTGCACCTAATTGCAAATACAATGACAAAAATGGCATATATGATAGATCCTCAATACTTTATAAGCTGGCAACAGACAAGTAGTTGCAGACTTTAAATATCTATAACTTTTGTTATTAGTAGCGTGATTTTCAATTTGTATTAATATGTATGAAATACGATCTTTGTTAAACTTTTCATCAAGAGTGCCCATATATAGAGATATTATAATATCTACTCCCTGCTGAATTCATTTATATGAATATGCAATACCACAAATCAGAGCATCCCCAAGATCTTTTCTCTTTAGAGTATATGTAATATTGATAAAGTATGTAAACTTAATATAAGCTTCACTAAATTTTCTTCCTGTAAACTTTACTGTTTCTTTAAGGCAATTCTTTATTTTTTTATAAACATTATCCACAAGTAACGATTTTAAAAATTCTTCAAAAGTCACGAATTGAAAATAAGTTCTACTAATATTCGTGCCATCTTAGATCTTTTTTTTAATGCAACAATCCTAGGTGTTGAGAAGTAACAACCTGGCTGTGAGCTCTCCATGTTAACTAGCCTCTACTATGCCTTTTTTTAAGGCTTCAGATAGTTTATTAATAAGTTCTGTGAGGCTGATATGTGAATTATTCATTATTTGAGCATTAGCTTCTGCTAGCATGGGTTCGGTAGGCATTGCTGTAACAATGTATTTATGATCCTCTAAGACTTTAATACAAAGGCACATATTGTTTGCTATTAAATCAGGTGTATATTCAGATTGTAGTACTATTTTGACACATAAATGGAATTCTAGAATAGCCAAAGTATCCAATATTTTAATTGGGTTTTTCCTCTAAACATTGAAAAATTGTCTACCAATAAGCTTGTCCATAGCCAATTTGATAATATATTCTGGTTCCATCTCTTTAGTATCACTAGAAGGCATTAATAGTGCATCTCACAAAGGTCTTCCATACTGAAAGAAATGTTGTAGGTCTTCTGACTCCTTTAATGTCATAGCTTCTTTAAAATTAACAAAATTGACATTTATGTCCACAGTGTCTAGCAAATAAAATGGCACAAATAATTTGAAACCATGCTGTGCAATTTCATTAGATGGATTGAGGTAAGAAGTAGGTGAAAAGTTTGAAATATTTGAATGTATGTCTGAAAAGACTGCAAAAATTCCTGCTCTTTTAGGTAAGAGAATTAAAGCATGTCGAATATAATTAAACAGTGAATTTTTTCCAATATTCTTACTTTCAACATTCTTACCAACCAGTGTATGAGCTTTATCTAATGCAAACAGGTATTTAACTGAACCTTTTCATTTTATATATTTTTTTTAACTAAATATTTCTTGACCAATTCAGTCATCTCGCTATTTCTAGAACATTTTATAAGATAGAACTTGATATCTCCCATTCTGTTCTTAACATCTCTCCAAAATTTTTCTTGCGAATTTTTATTGGTATGCCAATCTCTCCATTCCTTAAAATCTCTATTAAATTCCTGCAACTTTTGAAAACATGTGGATATATATGCAAGATAGGTAGCTATGGCTTCTTGTTTATTCATAAAATCACTTACTAGTATGTTGGCAATATTCGATCTGAATGGATAACTACTTGATTTGAAGTCCCGCAGACAACAATATACAGTCATTATCTTTTCTGCAACATTTATCAATAATTTGGACTTTCCTGTGCCACTGGCTTGAACTAAGGTTGTGTATAGCACATAATAACCATTTATCGTTTCATAATTATCTAGACACTTGTCAATAAATTGTATGAATCTTTCTGAAAGGTTACTTGGATTTTGAAAAGTTCTATTAAAAGCTTTCTGTACAATTTCTTCATCTTCTTCACTTCTAGTATGATAAGTACGATATGATGGATCTTCTATAGAATGTACAAGAAATAATTAAACCTCACCAAAAATCACTAATAGAATAATACTATTTATAATCAGCTTACTTGACGGTTCATTCACTTTTCCAAAGTAGTAACAAGCATCAAGATAAGGTTGCATTAATTCAGATTATTTTTGTTTTACTAGCGAACTGAATAACATACTTTTTTTTTATCAAATATCTTGACTGGATTATCAATCGAACATTTTTGTTTTTAAGAAAGTTGATAATTTGCATTTTTAACCAACCAAAATTTATTTTTTTATCACCAATAATAAACATATAATTTTCCAATAAGCCTTGAATATTAAAGCTTACTTTTAAATGCTTATGCAGTTGAGTACTATTCTCTTAGGTAACAGAACTAATACAAAGAACTTTTGATATGAGGTACTGAAAGTATAAGGGGGCTAAAAGCAAAATTGTAAATTTTGTAAATAATATCATAATATAATAAAATGAGAAAACTAAAATATTCATAGTGCTTACCTGTACCTGTATAATAAATATGAGGCACAAGTTAATAAATGAAATTATTGTAGAGAAAGCAGTATAGGTTTAGAATATTCAAATGCAGTCATGACACTACTTACTCTGTTCTTTGCTATTAATTTTATTAATAAACTCTGCAATTTTTTCAGCTGGTCCTTGTTTTAAACTATCTTGCATTAGTTTATTCACATTTAACTTAAGAAAATGCCAACCTGTAATTTTTTGGTCACAGAGAACTTGAAGATCTTTATTATCATGATCCAAGTTTTGGTTTTTCAAAAATCTGATAAAATGGTCAGTGTTATCTAATTTTTTAATTTGTTCAATGGTAAGAAAATCAACATGAGTATTTGCAGTAATAGACATGTTTATTTACATAATTAAATTTTTTTTAGTAAGAAATAGTCATAAAATTCACTCTTTTTATAGTTTATATAAACAATCAATTGTCATACAACAAATATGTAGTGTCAGTATGTCATAGTAAATATTCTAATATCTGTTATAACAATACAGTACTATGTATAAAGGTAGCTGCATCACACAGTTGGTAGTAGAACTAATTTTGAATTACTGCATGTGATGTATTTTTTGCTATATATAAATGAGTGATGAAAACACTTATTAAGTAAAATTATTTACAGGTTTTTCCTTTTCGTCACTCAAATACAAAACCAAAATTAAGCATATCGATCAACAGCCTAGATCAAAATTCATCAGAAACCAGTCATATTAAGTAATACTGAAATGTTCTGATAAATACTGACCCAGAATTTGGGTAGATTTTCTTAATTTTGGTTCTGCCATATAATTATATCAATTAGATGTTATACAGTAATTTGTTCTACTATATGATAAAATGCCATAATTCAGTAATTCTACCACCAAATATAAGTTATGCTAGAAACTAGGAATGAAAACAAATATAATAGTCATATCAGGAACAGAGTAATGAAATCACATGGTGTATGGATTATATGGTGTTTAAGGGGGATTGTTCTGCAAAATCTTAAGTTTGATTGGTCTATATGACTTATTCATCGAATTTTGGTTCTTTTTTACGTATGAATTTATCATACATTATTTAATTCATCATGCTTATAGATCAACAGGTATGCATGTGCATTTGGATATGTAATTACAAAGAATACAAAAAATGAATGCATAAGTAATGTCATAGTTGCAATAACAAATAATAGAAAAAAAGGAATTTTAGATATTAAAATTGGTAACTCAGTGCAAATTAATTTGTGTATTTATTTGAAATTTAACAATTTTTGTTTTTTTTTTTTGTAGGATTTTTCATTAGGTTGATTAAATATAATTACTGATTGTCAAAGACAATAGCAAAGTAATTTTCAAATAATATGATGATCAGATAATTTATTACATAATGTTTAACAAATGTGAGTTGATTACCTATAATGTTTATCAAATACTTTGCAATATATTAATGAAATGTTAGATCAGATCTCATTTGTATGTTACTTGGACTATTTATTATTATTATATTAATTTTTATTTTTGATTTCTAGTATAATTATATTACAAAGCTATTTTATTAGAATTATTTGCTTTGTAAACATAAGGCAGATATCAAGTTCATTATATTTTTTTTATTTTATCCCTTAAACTGTATTCCAGGCAAATTTGCCTAGAAAATTAAATTGTATTTAGTATTTTTTAAATAAAACAATAATTTATT